TCCACGTGTTGAAATCAGTATTTTTTTTTTTTTTTTTTTTTTTTTTTTTTTCGACGAACGCACGAAATTGCAACGCGTACAGGTCTTCTGTTCCCGCTTTAATTGGCACACCGGATCCGCAAAGCCCAACTTAGAGGCCGACTACATCAATCAATGATAACCACGTGAACGACTAATCGTCGAATCGGTCGAAACTCGTCGAAATTACACCGCCGGGAAATTGATCGAAAGCATTGACAAGCGTGGCGAAGCTCTAACCTCTCGGACGATTTGAAAATTGACGAAGTCGCAAGTATCACCTCTCTCAGGTACGGTCGCACGAATTTTGAAAATGTACGCTTGTTTGTTTGTTTGTTTACTTTTCTTTTTTTTCCTTTTCTTTTCTCGCTTCGGTCGACTGTTCGAAGGCGCCGGGGCAAAAAGCATTGGCCGACTTCGCGGTTAAATGAAGAAGTACAGAAAAATCGGTAAAAAATAAAGAGAATTAGAGAAATTTTCAAGCCAAGTCAGACGAGCGACGACGTGTGAACTGGACAACGGTTGTTTCTCCACATCTGCCACGTCGCGGATCCACGGCGAGCAGACTCGTGCCCGGTTCCCACGAGATTTGATATGGATGTAGACCCAAACGAAAACAGCAGAGACACCGACCTGTGCGAAACGAACGCCCAACGATTGATCGCCGAGAGCGGTGCCCGATGTATGAGCACGCAAGCGATGCAATCGCTCTATGACTTCCGGCAGAACAACCTTCTCTGCGACGCGGTCTTGAGGCTCGAGGATGGAGGCGTTTTCCCCATTCACCGCGCCATTTTGTCGGCTTGCAGCCCGTACTTCAGGTCCATATAATTACACCACTAATCTGATTAACTGCCCTTCAACCAAATATGATCACTTATCTCGTAACATTTTCGATCGATCGAATAGAACGTTATTCACGACGACGTTGCACTCGCGCGAGAAAACGGACGTGCTTCTGCCCGGTGTCAGTAGCAACATGATGAACCTGCTCCTCGAGTACGCTTACCTCCGCTCCATCAACGTGAACAACGAAAACGTCTGTCAGCTGCTGGTCACCGCCGATTACCTGAACATCTTGGGCGTGTTAGATTTCTGCTGCGAGTATCTCAAGCAAAGTCTCGCGCCGGAGAATTGCATCAGCATCATGAGGTTCGCCAGGGAACACTTTTGCAAAGGATTGGAGAGCAACGCGTATCGTTACGTCATGAGACATTTTGTACAGGTCATTACGCTTTCTCAGCAATACTGGTTCTCGCGAAATGGTATTTTCCTGTTCCTTAATTCATATTATAATAATATTAAATAATATATTATATAATTATAATAATATATTATAAATTATATTAATATGATACAATATACAATATAATATATTGTATCATATTACATTCATAAACTTCACTGATTTATATTGATGAGTTTCTTCTTTCGAAATAAGGAATTCTTCGACAAACAGCACGTTAATATGTGTTGCAAGAATTGGATCTGATTATTAACCTACATTGACAAAGCCACGTTACTTTCTTTCTCTCTATTCTTCATTCACAATCCTATCTCTCCTTTATTTATCGCTTTATTATATGTCCTAATTTTATTTTATTTTATCCATTCTATCCTATGTGTTCCATTGTCTATTCTTATCCCATTTTTCCCCTTTGCCTTTCTTTCTTTCGAAACTTGCCTCCGCGGAAGATCGACATCTCGGCCGATTGCGTTTCTTCCGCATTGAATTGGAATTCTAAGTGGCGAAATGACGGGATTCGACGACGGTAGGTAGCTCAACGAAGCGAGGAGATCCTCGACTTGCCGATCGAAGAGCTAACCACGCTGATCGGTGCCGACGAGCTGAACGTGAAAAGCGAGGACACGGTGTGGGATCTGGTGTTGAAATGGATCAACTGCGATCCACAATCGCGGAAGGAGTACATCGTCGACCTGATGAAGAACATTCGCCTGGGCCTGCTGGACACGCAGTTCTTCCTCGAGAACGTGAAGGATCACCCGTACGTTACTGGCAACGACGCTTGCCGGCCGATCATCATCGAGACTCTCAAGTTCCTCTACGATCTGGAGATCATCACGCAAAAGGACGGCGAAGTACCGACGCCGAAAATAGCGCGGCCCAGGGTCCCACACGAGATACTGTTCGCGATAGGTGGATGGAGCGGCCGAAGTCCAACGAATTTCATAGAAACGTACGACACTCGAGCGGATCGCTGGGTCAAGGTAAATCGGCACTTGGATTAATCGTGTTAGATTAAGACAGCACCGTGTTAGATTATCGATCGTACGAATTTCCGGGATGATCTCGGGGGAAAAATCGACAAAGGTGGAGGAGGTGGATCCGATCGGGCCGCGTGCGTATCACGGGACAGCGGTGGTCAGCTTTAACATTTACGTGATCGGCGGCTTCGACGGCGCGGACTACTTCAACAGCTGTCGTTGCTTCAACGCTGTTACCAAAACGTGGAGGGAAGTGGCGCCGATGAACGCCCGAAGGTCAGAAACAAAGATCAAACAAATCGATTTCGAGTCGATAAAACGAGAACGATGAAAAAAAGCACGCGATATAAATATACGTTATATAAATTTCCGTCGATCCGGTGAAATCTCAGGTGTTACGTTAGCGTGGCGGTGCTCAACGATCTGATCTACGCGATGGGAGGATACGACGGATATTATCGGCAGAGCACCGCGGAACGTTACAACTACAAGACGAACCAATGGTCCTTGATAGCGCCCATGAATTGTCAAAGATCGGACGCCAGTGCAACTACTTTGAATGGTAATCAAAAGTTTTTAAATTTTAAAATCGAAGCTAATTCAATCTTCAACCTAGTTGCACACGATGATTGAGTAATCGTTCTGTACGGCGTAGACAAAATTTACATCACGGGCGGATTCAATGGCCATGAGTGTTTAAATTCAGCCGAGGTGTACGATCCAGAGACCAATCAATGGACCATGATAGCACCGATGAGATCGCGCAGAAGCGGAGTGTCCTGCATAGCTTATCACGGCAACGTATACGTTATCGGTATACGTTATTCGAATTACTTTTCCCCCTCTCTTGCTTGGCTTTCATCGATCCGCCGCCGATTCAGCGGTGATGAATCGTTCCAGGAGGCTTCAACGGGATATCAAGGATGTGCAGCGGCGAGAAATACAATCCGACGACGGACATTTGGAGCCCGATTCCCGACATGTACAACTCGCGCAGCAACTTCGCGATCGAGGTGATCGACGACATGATTTTCGCCATCGGTGGATTCAACGGCGTTACCACGATCTATCACGTCGAGTGTTACGACGAGAAAACGAACGAGTGGTAAATTTCAAAAAAAAAAAAAAAAAAAAAAAAAAAATCTTCACTCGTCGTTGTAGTGTTTAATTTATTGCCAAAAAGATTTTATCAACATCGTGAGATTCTTTCTCGAGAGAGTGAGAAAACATCAGACGATGCTTTTGCTTTCGTATCGTGTCAACCATGTTCGAACGTTGAAATTCAGAATTTTTTTTCTTTTTTTTTTTTTGCCTCTGGCTTCCTTTGCAGGTACGAAGCGACAGACATGAACGTGTACCGTTCGGCGCTGTCAGCCTGCGTGATCATGGGTTTGCCAAATATAAACGACTACATCCATAAACACCGTGAACGTTTGATGGAAGAGAAACGACAGAAACTGTTGGCACTGGAAGTGCACCGCAGTCAGCATCAGCCTCAGCAAGACCAAATGCAGCAGAACAGCGAGAATTCCTTGAGCAACGAAATACCCGTGCCACCTCCAATGCCTCCAAATAACAGTTCCAGCAACGAGAATCGACGAAATTGATAAGGAATACACATAATGGAATGAACATTTACAATTGGGTTTACGGCCGATGGATCGGATGGATGATAGTCCACGTGACAGAAACGACGAATATTCAGAACGATTGATTAGCCGAAAAAACGATAACAATGAAATTGATGGCGTTCGTATTAACAGGAACATTTTACCGGTCTTATATTTTCGAGAATTTGTCGAGAATTTGTCGCTTGCGAATATCGTGGATGAAACAATCTCCCTTTTTTCCAATTCTTGCAAATCTCGAACGACGATGTAAATCGTTAAGTATAAGACAACCCTCATTGGAGATTAAAGACAGGATGATATATCATTCACGATGAAGAGGCATGGGTTTTTGAAACTGAATTTTTGGTTTTTTGAAACGACTTGAGAGAATATTTTCAGATCCGCGTTTACCTGAATTTATTGGACCAGATGTGTTTCTTTCTTTTTTTTTTTTCTTTTTTTATTTTTATACGAGGCATGTTTTTATTACCTATATTTGTGATGCGATTTTTTTACGAAGTTTATTGGATGATCTTTATACGTATAGACGAATTTTGAAAGCCAATTGTGTAAGTAAAGATGAGGAACGATCTGAGTGACATCTAAACGTTATTAACGTTGACGAAAGATATTTACAAGAACTGTTGAAATGGAACTTTACAACGATCAATAAAAAGACATGAGCAAATTACGTGGTTTTCATCGACGTTTTTACTTGACAAAAAATCGATCGAAAATTAATTAATCATTAACAGTAAATCGCGGAGTGTTTGAACCAATACGACGTTTTAATAAATTATTTTTAAACGATTATTTTGTATACATTTTGAAGTTGACACTTTCAACTGGTTCAGGTATAATTTTCATCCGAATTTGGAAGAAATTAAATATTTTAAATATACGTTACTGCCATCTATCGGAATTTACTTATTATCCTTTTAGTTCGTTCGGATTCGGGATGAGCTCAGATGGCACTGTGTATACGTATATCTGTAGGTACGATGATCGATAAATTATAAATTCACCGTACTACAAATAACTATACACTTTGTTAATATTAATATTTTTAATAACTATTATTTAACAATATTTAATTGGACAATAAAATTAATTAATTAATCATTTATACACTTTTAATTAATAATAATTTTAGACTTTAGAATGTACAATGTACAATATTCAATGTCCTATCTGGATTATCTATTTCACAACTCTTATTTATACCTTAGTTAATTTGTTAAGTATCCTTGACAATTATTTACAAACGTCTCCATAGTAAT